AAAAAAAAAAAAAAAGGTGGTACTCGTAAATAGAAAAACCAAATCAATGTTGGCAACAGAAATAAGACCTCGACAACTTTTATTAATTCCGATGGATTACGTCATTCACGTGTCTTGTTGACGTCATGACTGAAGTTAACCAATCTGGCGATAGCAGCTGTGTTGTTTTTATTTCGGATCGCATCTAGCAGTCTCAAGGCATTAAATGGATTAATTAACTCATGAAGAGGCTTTAGTTGCTTTTTGCCATAATCCCATCCAACGCGTAGGGTGAAAAAGACATTTTTAGGTGGTGGATTATTTTGTGACTAAAATTAGATTGAAAGAAATTGTTTCAATCAAAGCAAGTTGTCTTGCAAGACATGCTGATTAAAGTGAGGAAATAACTAATTTGTGACTGACGTGAAAGAAATTGACAGTAATCTCGACTTGGCTTGACTTTTGTTTGCCTGGGTTCTGTTACTAAGGGACTTAACTAATGCGCGAGAAGTTAATGCTACCAGTTATTAAGATTACTCTACAGAAGAAATTTAATAAAATATGAGTTTTATTTACTGTTTATCAAATGGTTTTTAAAATTGATATAGAATAAAATACTATAGAACTAATATTGTAAATTTCTGTAATTCCATCAATGACTCTCATAACGCTTATAATTTGTTTTTATAACGTAAATAACGCATATAACGCTTATTTTATAACGCTGTTAGCGATCAAAAATACCATGTTGTCAAATATTCGTGTTTTAGACGATAACGTGTATCTTTTATACCGCTTATGACGCATGTACTACTTTTAACATATTATCACTTTTGGGGTGTAGCACTTTTCAAATAACTCGTAGGCATTTATAACGTCTCCTAACATTAACGGTGTATCGCTTTTCAAATAACGTTTATAACGCATAAAGCCTTAATAATGCTTAAAATATTATATGTCGAATGTTTATGTTTCGGGTCGAATGTTTATGTTTCAAGTCGAATGTTTATATTTCGAATGAATGTTTATGTTCCGAATGAATGTTTATGTTTCGAATGAGTGTTTGTTTCGGGTCGAATGTTTATGTTTCGAATGAATGTTTATGTTTCGAATGAATGTTTATGTTTAGAGTGAATGTTTATGTTTCGAATGAATGTTTAAGTTTCGGGTCGAATGTTTATATTTCGAATGAATGTTTATATATCGCTTATAACGCTATATATATGTAATAAAATCGGTAATATTTTGATGATTGGAGATTGTAGCATATTCACAACTTGGCAAAGACTTTTTTGTGTAAATTAAAAGATGACATTTACAGACAGCGGCACCGAAGATAAGATATAATTTATTTCTGGACAATTAATTCTTGATGCACATATTTTTCTTTACACATCATCAAGGTCGAAAAAGGCACCTCGCAGTTTTTGGAAGCTTACGTTTTCAGGTAATGAACAAATACAGTTATTAGTCGCAATGTGTTAGGGAAAAGGAGAAAGTAACTACATATTCAACAGCAACAAGAGATAGAGAATTGGTGTTTTTTTTAAATTTTGATTTATGATTGGATAAAAGATATCCAGTTACGAGTATCCTGCTCTCTAAAGCTGTAAAGTAATAAAAAGTTTTCTAATTATTCATTATATATATATATATATATATGTGTGTGTGTGTGTAATAATAAAATTCCATAGTCAAGAATACACTTAAAATTCTAACTGTATGCTCTTTTCATTTTTAATGGCTACGGTCTCTTATTTGAAAGTACGTGGAATTAAATCCACAGCTCCGTAGTCAAGTTGTTTTTCCCGCCTTTTCTACACGTACAGTTATAGAATGTTCTGGAAATATTTAAAGCGAACTGGAATGGCTGACGAGGCTGACGTCATTTCTTGGACGCTCCGCCTTTCCAGAGTCTATAAAAGGACTCGCAAAAGAATATCGGGGCTTTTTCTTAAATGTCACGATGCAGTAAACTTCATACAAAAAGTTATTAGTAATTCTTTTTTATTTACTCCGGAGATCTTGATTTTTGTAATTGCTATTTTCCCTGAAATATAATAAATGGATCCTGTTTTTTAAACTTATCGTCTGATAATTTAAGCTACGACTACATCTATGATTCTTCACCAATCTATTTATTCCGGACAAAAGCTGGTACATCATATATATATATATACAGTGTCTCACAAAAGTGATGGGACACTTTTGCTTTACGAAAGGAAACTGTAATAAAATAAATTAAAAACACATGTAAAAATTTTTGTGGGTGTATTTCATACTTAAATTTAGTAACAATTATTACATAATATACATTTTCTCAAAATATTAAAATAGTAATTTAATAAAAATACAATTGTTTAGAACGGAGCAAGAAATGGCTCACATAAGTGATGGGACACTTACTTTTCCATCAAATATTTATCCAAAAATTTTACTTCTTAAAATGTTTAATATTTGTTTGGATTTCCTTTTACTTTGAAACGTGATTTAATCTTCTTGGGATGGATTCGACTAATTTTTTTGTGATTTCTGGAGTGATTTTACCCCATTCTTCTTGAAGCAATGATTTTGATTGTTGTTTTGAAGAAATGGTGTGTTTGCGAATTCTTGATTCCAATTCTTACCAAATATTCTCTGTTGGATTTAAGTTTGGAGATTGTGGCGGTGTTTTTATTATTTCAGGACAGTTATACAGCAGCCAGAGTCTAACGTTCAAAGCAGTGTGCTTGGGGTCATTGTCATGGTAGAATTTAAAATCGTTACGAAGGATCAATTTTCGTGCTGAAGATTTCAAATTTTGATTTAAAATGTCAATATCTTGTACTGATCCATTTTTAAACTGTCAATAAAACAAGATTACCAACTCCAGCGGACGACATACCCCCCATACCATAACTCCTCCTCCACCATGTTTACTGTTCGCACCAAGTTCTGTTTGCGAATTCTTTCCTTGGTTTTTTCTCTACAAACCAAGATTCTACAGTCAAACCAATATATTAAATTTACTCTCATCAGCTAATATAACTTCATTCCAGTAATCAGAGTTCCTTATTATGTTGGATTTTTGCGAAAGCCAGTCTGAGGTTTCTATTCTTTTCACTTAAGGAAGAATTTTTTCCTGGCTGCTCCAGCAGATCGAATTATTTGTTCTAATGTCTCAGATTAACAATTACTCCATATAATGTTTGTAAATCAGCAGCAACTTTAGGAGCACTCATTCTTGGTTTTTTAAATATTTTGAACAATAATTCGCTTATTCCATTGGATAGCTTTGAGGTTGGCCAGGTCTTCTTTTATCCTGATATATGATTCTTATTATATCGTTTAATGATCTGAAAATTGCTGAATGACCATGTTAACTGTTTCAAGCATTTCTCTAATAGATTTTTCCACGTTCAATATGCAAATTAATACGATTTTCGAAATTTCAGGCAAAGTTTCTTTTCGTTTAGCATTTAATGGCTCCACAGAGCTAAAAAACAAAAATTCCAAAACAAACTGGAGAGAAAGACTGCAGACGATTTAATAAATTATTGCCAATCTCCTTTTGAGTAAAGTAAAAACTCCAAAATATTTTTTATTGTAGTACGTAGTAGTAGCTAATGTGTCCCATCACTTGTGAGCCATTTTTTGCTCCATTCTAAACAATTGTATTTATTTAAATTACTATTTTATATTTTGAGAAAATGTATGTTACGTAATAATTGTTACTAAATTTAAATATGAACACACCCACAAAAATTTTACAATTTTTAAATTTATTTTATTACAGTTTCTTTTTGTAAAGCACAAGTGTCCCATCACTTTTGTGAGACACTGTATATATATATATATGTGTGTGTGTGTGTGTGTGTGTGTGTGTGTATATACAGGATGATTAAAAAATGTTTTCAAAATGATATGGCAAATGAGGCGTACAACAAGGATAAAATATGACAGGATCACAAACGCTATCCGGAGCCGCTAGGGGGCGCTTAAAATAATTCATACTACAAAGACAAGAAATAAAAGCTATTTCAGATTTTTATTTGTATTAGTTACATGGTACAAATGTGCGACCATTTTTATTGTAATTGTAAAAACTGCTTTTTTAACCGTTTTAACTGACTTGCTGTTTTATGTTTTTGTATTTAACAATTTTCATTGAAGATGCTTTGAGTTTTGTACGTTTGGTTGCAGCGAAGTGAATTAAATTAATTGAATGTGAAATTATCTGATGACTTCGGAAAAATATGTTTAAATGAAATGCAACAAAAATGCTAAATTTAATATTCCGTATTAAAGTCATTGGTGTACACCGCGATTTTTTCTTTTTTAGTGCAAAGGGATTTGAATCCGAAGGACTATTATTTCGTTTTGCATTTTGCGTCAGACTCATAATGTCGGTTCACTTTTCAAACGTGCCACAAAATGTTAAGTCCCTGCATTATATTTGAAGAAATTAAATAATGAAAAATCTGCATAAATGTATGTATTTTCTCTCGTATTGTATAAAACAACGGTACACAGGTCTCGAATTTTGAATAACGTATCCTCCACGAATATGAGCATGTTGAAGAACCAATTTGAAATTTGAAATTGTTTTATGATCGAGTTCCTATTTTTTTAAAACTTTGTGAATTTTGAATTAACAAACCCAGATTTCAAGCGCAATGGCAACGTTTATGCAGAAAAAACATTTTTATCTCCAGTCGTGAGTCTCTGTATCGGAAAATTCTAAGATGTTCGTTTTAAAACTATTTGCGATTTGCTTTGCACTGGATCTTATGGTTAAGTGCGGGAACATGATTTTAATAAAGAAAGGTAACACACAAAATGTTAAAAAACGCCCCTTTGGACGTAATTTAAAATCTGAAACATTTCAGATTTTGTTTTTTTTTAATATTTTTCGTGATTTGAAATATAAATAAAATATTTCTTTATTTCGTTATTGAGGTATTCTATATCAGCTTAAAGGGATTTCACGTTACTGCGACCAATTTAGTAAGAACTGAACTACTCTTTCGTTATTATTTAAGTCAGAAGAAACAGCAACAAATTAGATGGTACACTGAAGCTGACGTTAATTCATTTATATAAACGTGAACTAATTTGAGGTTTTGTTCTTTCCGCAGTGTGGCTTGGATCCTTCAGCGTGGCTTTAGGTCTGTTCCTTTCACCCTTTATTGTGGCCTTCTGTCGTCGTAAAAGTACTCGACTGACAGCTGTCTTCGGTGGACTGACCGCCGCTTTGGGATGCCTCTTCACATCGTTTGCGTCACAGATGCATCAAGTAAGCCAATCACCATACAGTATTATTGTTTTCCTCTCCGACTGCTGTACTTGTAGCTTTACTTTTTCCATACATATAAAAAATCAAATGTAGTATTTTGAACTGAAATTAATTTTAGACAAGGGAAGAAGTCAACACTTCTGCATACGAACAGTACTCAAGGAGGCAAATGTTCTTGAGTTTTAGAATGAAAGTATTCCATTATGTTGCAGAAAATGCTGATTAGCTCTCATCTATGTAATATTTCTCGTTATTGTTTATTAAGTGTTGTCTTTTATTGGATAAGAATTTCATCCTCTTGTATAGAATTTCTCTTATTCTATACTGAATTCCCCAGTATAGAATCCCCAGAGTCCCTGGGGGAATCTATAGTCCCCTGCGTATCCAAATCATATCCAGCATCATCGAGCTCTTGTTCCTGAAGAAAATTTGTGTTATGAAGGAAAAAAAAACAGCATTTTGTTGCACAGTTGTAAGGATTATGTTAATTTTATTAACAGTTAAATTTTAAGTTAAAGTTCCTTTCCTGTCAAATTCTTAACTTCAACTTACTACTCCGGCAGAACATAGTTTGAATCTCCTGAATATTAATAAGAGGAGGGTTTTAAACACGAGTACTTACTGTGGAGAGAAACTAGTTTCTGATTTACGACGCGCGGCTGCCTTTTTTGTCCACTTTCTCTCTCTCTAACGCTTTATACGCTCGGCCGTACTCAGGCGCTTGCGAGCTCGCGTCAAATAAGTTAAGGGAGGCAAACGATTGAACCTTGATAGCTCGGCTATACTCTTTAGTTATCTTCGTTTTAGTTTAATTCTGCTTTAAGTTCAATCCAAGTGCGGGCTTTGCTTGTACATTCCAGGCGGCGGAGTTTTGTTAAATCTATTGGATAATAAAGGGTTAGTTTACCCTCTATCTTGTTGTTTCTGTCACCGAACTAAACGATTATTCGCTTATCAGTTCTTAGATTCTTCACTTCCAACATTAACTTAGAATTCCAAAGTGAGGAACTCTACACAGTAGTCAGTGAATACGGGCAGAACAGTACTCGATCCTCTTCTACAGAACTCCTCTTTTCTGTTCAGGAAGAAGTTCTACAATCGACCTCAAAAATTCTTTTACATTGTCACTTTCTTGTTCTTGAAGAAACTTTGTATTACGATGGAAAAGGAGTGGTATTTTGCTGCAGCAGCTCCACAGAATAAGGGCAGTTTAGTAAGAGATTTGAAACAAACTCCCGCAATCTTTGAATTCCATACCTATATGTGGTACTGCAGCTTTCCTGATGTAAGACATTACTTGATGATTCATCAAGGATGGGCGCTTTTCTGTAAGGCCTTGCGAAAAAGGTCAAGTTACGCGCAGAAGAACCAGATGAAGTTGTGTAGTAGAAATTCCAAATGCATCTTCCGTGTGAAATACCACTAGCGGCTTAGCAGAAATTTGTTTACATAGGATCCTTGTTTTTGGAAGGGATCCTGGAGATATATCTCTCCTACAAGCTACCTGACTATTTTTGATGTTATTATAAAAGTAAACATATTTTTCATCATTAGTTACCCTTTTTGACGCAAAACTCGGCTGCATCATGCTTAGCAAGGTTTAAACTACAGCAATCCACTCTTCTTTCCCAATCCCTGTTCGATAAATCGTCTGGTAAGAAGTGTTCATATCTACCACAAATCCGAAAATATGAATCTGCGTTTCCAGTATCATCTTACGAACCTCATTAACGTCATTACCATTACTTTAGCAAAGATCTTCGGTTTTCAGTTTATAAGGTTGTCGTTTGCTTTCTGCTCTTCGAGCTGTCACCATTAAGGAAGCGCCAAAATCACTACTGATATGTACTACATGACTATATTGCCATATATACCACATATGCTTGGACATGCTTCCGCCGCCGTTTACCTATATCATACACATGTAAAAGCTAATGTTTGGTGTACTTTTTTCTTACCTTCATTTTTAATTTAGCTTTCACCATTTACAGTAAGACCCCGCTTAACGCTGTTTCGTTTAGCGCTGTTTCGGTTTAGCGCTCTTTATTCACCCGGGATTCCACAATCGCTCGCAGCATACGGGATTCCCGAAATATTATGCGCATAGTTTCAAACTTCCAAAGTGTCTTGTTTTCTTGTTTGGTGCGTATGTACGACATATTTTGAAGGGGTAAATGTGAAGATGTCGAAGAAATAATTCAAGAGCAGCGGCTAGTCTTTCTAATGATGAGCTCAAGGAATTAACTGAACAAGAAAACAAAAATGTTGACAGCAGTGATTCGAAGAAGCAAAAAGACTTTCGATGGCGTTTGTAAAAAGGAGTTTTGTCTACCATAACTGAAATATGGATCATTCATTGAAAAGATCCAATTTGACTGGAGCTCAAAAGTACGTGTGTTTGGATGCTCATCCGTTTATGAAGAACTTTTAAGAGAACAACGCAAAGAGAAAGGCAAACAACATTAATGCTTTTGTCACAAAAGGCAGAACACGAAAACGCGGAGGCTACTAAATATACTGAGAATTTTTATTTGTTTTTTTAAGATATTTGTTTTGTTATTTATATTTTGTTTTATTTTTGCAATAATAATAATGTGGTATTAATTTGGGCTTAAGAAATAAATGTTTGGTTTTATTTTTATTAAAAAAACATACTTTTAAATTTATACTAACCAATTTCCTAGCCATCTTCCCCTAACCCCAATATTTACATGTAAAGATAGCCTCGTTTAGCGCTGTTTCGCATTACGCTCTACTTTGATGGAACTTATCCCCCGCGTTAAGCGGGGTCTTACTGTATATATTAAGTGCAATGCCTATGCCAATGCCTTTTAGTACTCAGTCCCATATACCCTTGTCCCCAAACAATACATGCAGGTATAGAAAGGGAAGCAAGTAAAAATACAGGCAAATGAAATAAATCAAAAATATTACAACCTAAGAATTTTTCATATACCAATACTACAAACAAACTAAGTGTGCGAAACTTAAGCAACTTTCCTGCTTTAGGCCATAATTCAACAAACAATCAACTGCGAAAAATGAAATCCATAGCACAGAGGTATAGTGCAGTACTTACAGGAGAAGGAAAATATAGTAGCAAAAACATTAATAGGACGCATACAGTACGGAACGAATAGAAAAAGATTTTATTAATAGAACGACGTTGGTATGAAAAGTGTTTGGTCAAGAGGAAGAACAACAAACCGAAGGATCTCAATAAAAGATATGTCCTCCCTAACTGTAATAGTTGCGTTGCACCATCTATCGATCCTCAACACCAGGTTAGCTAGCATTCGGAACAAGAGTTCCTAATTTTCAAGAAGCATTTGCTTCAGTTGTCTGATGTTCTCCGGAAGGTAATGTTGTGCCGCCAGTACCCAACAGATGTTCAACGGGATTTAAACCAGAGGAACGTGCCCTCCACTCTTTTCTGCGGATATCTTTCGTTTCCAAGAGTTTCTCAATAACATGAGCCCTGTATGGCCGTGCATTGTCATCCATAAGTCGGAATCAATGACATCCAGGAAACGACGCACATGCTGGAGGATAAATTCATCACAGTAACGATTTCCGGTAAGTAAAACCTCCATAAAAATATGGAGCTTTGTCCGTCCGTTCATCATAATGCCCCCCCCCAATACAAGCACTCCATAGCCACTACATAGGTCTCTTTCCCGGATGTCAGTGGGAAGAACGTGCGTCTCTACCTCTCTCCATATCAACTGGTCCCGAGAGCGTAATGGCAGACCGCACATTGAGTTGAACAGTGTTAAGCGAATTTCGCTTACTGCGCATGCTTGATGGTGTACCTTTGGCGCGGGGAGAAATATTGGCGACTAAGCAACCCTACGTTAGCTTATTCGTGATCTCCATGGCTGTCGAGTGTGTTTCGAGTGATGTTTAAAATTGCAATGTTGTGGAACTTTTGCTTATTCGTTATTTTAACGTCCATGCCGATTGCACTTGCTTATTTTTCTAATATATGTTTTCATTTTAATTTGTCAATAACGGTGCATTTAATATTTGTTAACATATGTTCGTAATAATTCGTTATTTAATGTAATTTTGTTTACATGTTATAATTCAGTAATTCTAAACTGAGTACCTCGCTTAGTTTGTTAGCGTATATTCGCGCTTTTATTTTCTCATTCAAAGAATTTAATAACTAGCATTAAGAATTGTAAAATTTCTTTAGTGTTATTTGCAAGCACTTGTTATATTCCTCATTGTTTCTTTATGTATGTACGGATGGAACGTATGGTAAATCCTGAATGTAAAAAAATAATAATAAAAAAAAAAAAGTAAAATAATAAATAATAATTAAGTATATGAATAAAAGTATAATGAATAAAGTAAACTTATCCTGTGAATACCCTTTCAATGTTCCTGTACTGACTAATAAATAACCCCTTACAAGTCAACCCCCCCAAAAAAGTATAATAATAAATTAAAAAATTATTCCCGTATCATGAATGATAAAAAGTATAATGCTAAATTTTCATAATTTCCTTAAAGTATATGAATAAATTTTCAACTAATATATCCTAAATTTCAGTCTTTTTCTGAACGAAATTGTCAGTTCCAAGGAATGTGCAATTTCATAAGTATTATATTTTACATTTTTGACTGTAAACCCTGCTCACATTACTGCGCACTAAGTTCAACTTTCCCATTTTTGGAGCAATACAAAAAAAATCTAATTTTACACAGTAATTACTTTACATTGCACGTATACTCTACGAAGACTTAAACGCCGGATGTGTTCACAATCAGATGGCGGTACATCTACCACATACCGTATTTATCTTCTTTTCAAATCGCGCCAACATAATAATTACGCTAAATTTGTTTCTGGGCATGCGCAGTATGCGACATTCGTTTAACACTGTTCAACTCAATGTGCGGTCTGCCATTACGCGTCCCGAGAATCATTTGTCAGATTGAAACGACTCTCATCAGTAAAGGGAATGTAACTCCATTGATATGATGTCCAGTCTTTATATTTTTTACATCACTGTAAATTGTGCCACTGATGATGAGCTGCTATCAATGGGAGACAGCGTTCAGGACGGAGGGCGAATGGTCCACCTTTGTAAAATGATCTTTTTCCAGTAAACTAGGACACCTGTCGTACGCAGCTGCCGAGCAATGTCGCCCGTTGTATGTTTTCGATCTGCAGGGAGATATGTCAGTTACCAGTCAACGTTGTTTTCTTTCGCCAACCACCACCAAACTTCTTACAGCTGTACCTGTCGTTTGGAAGACTTTCCGAACTCATGAAGCAACACTTATCATCCAAGCTGTTGGCCGACAGACGTCAAACTACACCGCTCCACAAGTTTGCCAGTCATTCTGCCACGCGTGAAGGCGTCCTAGCGTTTTCCTGTAGTTATTTTACTTTCACGTGCATAACACTTGAAAATGTTCCTAGTTCCGCTGATATGCAGGAATTATCATGCGAACTTGCATGACGTGATCCGGCTCTCTGAAGTAGTGTCGTTCGACGCCTGGCTATAGCATTTCTTGACTGACTGCTGCCGTTGATGAAAGAGCGCTGACGGTGCGGTAAGGAACGTGACCATTGCCACGTTGGGTGTTGAAGTTTTAACTCATTGGTCTGGAGGACTCTTGATTTGCTGTCCTGTGTCTCATGAGTTGATAACGTCTCCTGATTTGTGGTGAGGTTAACATACAGGATTTTTTACAAACAGTAATATAATAAGAAAATTAAGACGGAGAAGATAAATTATATACACTATATACAAGTACCGATAGCATTTTAATATTCGTAATTTAGGTAGGAAAATTTGTGTCAATCATATGAGCTGCAAAGGGCCTTAGCAATCGATCTTCGTATAACAGTTCATAATGGAAGGTACCGAAATAACTCAGTTTCCCACGCAATGGCTTTTCTTAAAAAAAGCGTTCATTAGTTCATTTGAGATATTTGTCTAGAAAGTCTAATTTGAGGTCTTTATGCAGCTGGTCATTACGCACGAAATAGTGTGCATTAGTCATCAAACGGAGAAACTTAGATTGCACAATTTGCAGTTTGCCGAAACCCGAAAATGAGCTTTCGTTTTTACATCCTTGTACAAAGTAATGTAATCGCGAAAAATTTCAGACAGCATATTTCAACGAAAATATCCATTTTGACCGCTATCGAATGCAATTTAACGATGTTTTTGCGTCATATCTGTACGTAAGGACTGTACGAACGTACGTACGTTCGTACAGACGCCACGAAAAATTCTCTTCAGAATTCATTTTAAAGCAGTTTTATAATTTTTTGGAGGAAAAGAGTCTTTTAGTCAGTCCTTACGTACAGATATGACGCAAAAACATCGTTAAATTGCATTCGATAGCGGTCAAAATGGATATTTTCGTTGAAATATGCTGTCTGAAATTTTTCGCGATTACAATACTTCCTTTTTACTTTGTACAAGGATGTAAAAACGAAAGCTCATTTTCGGGTTTCGGCAAACTGCAAATTGTGCAATCTAAGTTTCTCCGTTTGTCTAAGTTTTACGTTTAATCTAAGTTTTACGTACGTACGTATCTCGCATAACTCAAAAACGAGTAGCCTCAAGAACGTTGAAATTTTTGTATATAGGACTGCTATAACATGTAGATGTGCGCCTCGTATTTTCGTTGCAATCGGCAGCACCAAACGTATATAAATACATTTATATATATATCCACTCTATTACCCGGCTCAGTGATCTCAGTTTTTTTACACTTATATGTTTGTAAATTGCACATTTTTTGCTTTAAAAATGGTTGAATTTATGTTGTTTTTTATCTCCCGGTTAAGGATTTATGCCTTAGTAACTGTGTGCAATATTTTTAGAATTATCAGCAATTTTAAAGTTGTTTAATTGCCGCTAAGCCTGTTTTTAATGGCGGCTATTGATGTTTACATTTGAAACAGGAGACTAGTGGATTTGTTGCCAATCTAGAGAAACTTAGCTTCGCAACAACAAAGATAACGCATTCATTTATTATTGCAAATTAAATCATGCTTAATTCTTTCTGGAATTTTTTCGAGGAAATAAGCGTTTGAGATTTACTTAGTAAATTTTAATACAGATATTTTGAGTTTTTATATATTTTTGCCTTCTCGCGAAGTGAGAACTGAATTAATTAAATGAGAAATACTCAATCGTCTGTGAAAAACTGTTTCTGTTTTACTGTTTCTGTTTTGTTTGCTTAATTTCTTTTATACATAGTTCTAGTTTTATTATAGTATTTGAATAGAACATGTGGCAACGATTAGATAATTCTTGAAATGATATACATTTTGTGCATTCTGAGTTATAATATGAATGAAATATAATACTGTTAAGTAAACCTAGTGCCAGAGTTTCGCTTTGGTAAACAAAGTGAATTTTAAAGAATGCATTTATTCTTTTGTGGTTTATGCGCTGTCGTCGAAGTAGGTTTAATTCAGTCTAATAAGTTTAAATAAAATGCAAGAAAAAATGCGTATAATTTAATATTCCGTACAAGGAAATCATGTGGTGTACACATCAGATTTTTTCTTTTAAAGTTGGTTGAACTGCACGCGTCGACCCATCGCGTTTTGCGTGTCCTGACGTACCATCTGCGTCACCTTTCAACTGAGTTGGCCTTTCACTGTATTCTTCGCAAAAAGTTCTTTTCAACAATTTCATGGTTGTATATGTTGTTGCTTAAATTTTAGACACTAGTTTTATAAGACATCTCGTTGCTGAATTCTGGTGTTTCGACATCTTAATCCTGTCATTTCAGAAACCACTGACTGTATTCACTAAATACTACCAAGCTACTTAAATATCTTGCATTATAAAATATTTATGATGTTCTACAGCAAAATCTATCATAGCACGTTATAGCATATAAGTATAGCACACAATTAAGTAGCATACAAGCATAGCACACAGTTTTTCTGAAAGCACGTTTCCACTTTTGTTTTGAAAATTTATGACTGTTTTCTTTACTCTGTTTGGTATAAATTTCATATTTATTATAATTTCTGCACTATAGCAAAGAAACTGGAATTTTAATATTTATTTCATTTAGTTTTTTAATTAACTTTTAATTTTAAAATTTCATTCATTTTACCTATTACAGAAGCCATAATTACGAATATTTTGCTGATTTTAGTGAAGAATGATACGAACGTGGATAAGACGTTTCGAATGAAAACAATTCGCACTAAGTGCGGCCGTGTTTTAAATTAACATTTTAACCCTCTGCGTACGGCACGATTTGGACATATTGTGGTTCTGAAATACGGGGCTTTTTTTAATATTTTCTATCTTTATATATTACTATTTACATCTTTATAAACAAAATTAGAGTAATGCAGAAATTTTAATTTTTTTTTAAACATACAATATGGCTCAGATTTTAGAATACATGGAATAAAAATATAAAAATGCAAACAATGGTTCTGAAATACGGGGCTTTTTTTTTATATTCTCTATATTCATATATTACTATTCACATCTTTATAAACAAAATTAGTATAATGCAGAAATTTTACTAGTTTTTTTTTTTTAATTTTAAAAACAATTAATAAGCAGGAATATTGTTACTTCAATTTACGAGTGTATGTTAAAACAGAAATGTTTTTATTTTAAATTTAACAAGTAATTCATTCGCAATTATGGCTCGTTTTATATTTTATTAGGTATTCCTCAGCTACGGTTTTGTCATGGCCTTGGGTCTAAGCTTAGCACGTGTGACGTCATCTCTGATGATTGGCCAGTACTTCAAGCGAAGACGGGAGAAAGTGGAAGTTGTAGTCACATCTGGGACGGGCTGCGGAGTCATCGTTTTTTCTTACAGCTTCGCGAAAATCATCAGGTAATAGAATTGGATTTGTGTAATAATGTTTTTCCTCTAATAAATTTGATAATTAAAAGGACGTTTATGTGAAAGCTACCGATGTCAAATTATCGTTCGCCATGTTGTAAAATTTTCTTATTGAACCTTTTTCGCAATATATAATGAAGTAGCGTTTATACGTATTTCAACGGAAGGTTCACAAACGACGTATAAATGAAAAAGACGTATGAACTGTTCACAATTTCTGTTCTTTCTTTAATTTCTTGAATCATAAACAATCGATATTAGTATTTTCGCAGGAATATCCAGTTTCTTTGCTATTCAACTTTCGACAAAACAGTATTCTCATTAATTCTTTCAAGATATGAACATTATTTTTTAACGAGAGTAACTATGGCTTTCGTGACATTTTATATCAGTTAATTCTACTCCACATAGTTCACTTAACACAGCATCCTGTCCGAAGAAAAAACCGTATTTGTTTTTCCTTACAGTACCTCCTCTGATTCATGAACTGTTTTTCAACTCCAGACTGCGATGTTTCATGCCTTTGTTCCTTCTCCTAGCCCCATTTCTAGGAAAAATACATGAAGAGTGGTACTGCAAAACGTATAACCAAATGCAGCAAATCAAACAAAAGCGACGTATAACTGAATTTACGCTATGTACAAAAGAAATATTTTACTATTCAAATATATAAACCTTAGTTGGGACCAAGATGAAACGACATATAAATGTAAAAAACGTATAAACTAATATAATACTTTTAATATAATTGTGAAAGAAGTATAAACGAGAAACGTATAAATGGTGCTTCATTTTTTTTTTTTTTTTTTTTTTTTTTTTTTAATTATGCAGTGTTTTGGATTTGAGATTTTGAGGGGGGGAAAGACGTGGTACAGTTCTATATCTCCCGTTCTACTGCGTCGATTGACGTAAGTCGAGTTGCGTTTTTCATGTTTCGAAAGTGCGACTTAAGATACGTATTATATTTACATATAGCAATGTTCTAATATAGGTATTTTGACACAAAATTGGCCTTTTTCTGCAATGACATGCTGAGTTTTTTCCATATTTCGATTCTACGACTGAAATTATGCCAATTTGCCAAGTTTTGTAAAAATCGCACTAGTAGATTTTAAAAAATTAGCTCTCGAACTTTAGCTCCTCCATGTTAATTCATTCTTGCATATATTTAATAATATCCCTTTTTATTAAATTTATTTGATTCTTCCTTTTATATTTCGAAATTTAGGTTCATTCCAAATAAAATTCGCCCATTTTTTATGCTTTATTTTTTAAATTTGTATTTAAAAATAATTTTTATAAATTTTTCGAAAAATATTTTGGATTATAACCTATACAATTTTTACCATCATTTTAAAGCTGATGTATTTCTAAACATACCTGCAAAAAGTTAGAGTTTTTTTAATGCAAAATTTCCTAAGATATACGTGAATTTACATATTGGCGCGTTTTGAAATTTGGCATATTTGTTATAAGCGATAATAGCGCCAAATGTGGTTTACGCATTTTGTTAAATTTATCTGAAAGAATGTGCGATGACTTTATAAGGTATTTCTCCCGCCTTCTTAAGGAGCCTTCATGGTGTAGTGGTCTGCACGCTCAGCGCGTAGTTGAGAGGTCTGTGGTTCGATTCCCAACGAAGGGGTTGCATATTTTTCATCTTGCCTGCTTCTAAAATACCAAATGCCTCTACAACGTTTTTTCCGCTCGTCTACAATGAAGAAAAGGAAATGAAAATAGGTTGATATAAATTAAGAAATTCGCCGGGTGAATTATTATTCTTGACGCAAACTGAAAAAAAAAAAAAAAAAAAAAAAAAAAAATCGGGCCAAGATGAATTTTAAAATTTCTCCATTAGTTTCACACCAAATTTTACAAAATTTAATATTTAGGCATAATTTTAGTTGTATTATCGAAATATGCAAAAAAAATGGCATGCCATTAAAAAAGTCCGATTTTGTGTTAAAATTCATATGTTAGAACAATGCTATATCTAATGTATATTCTAAGTCGCGCTGTGGAGACACGGAAAATGCAATTTGAATTTTATAAATCGGCCCAGTGCAACGAGAGATAGAGAACTGGCCCCCCTTTTTTTTATCTTTTTACATAAGCTATTTTTAAGATATATTACGGTTGATTTCCGATATTCCGGATACGGTAACTAATTAACCGGAGACTACGACGACGGTTAATGAAGTCACACTTCATATGAGAGCAGAAACAAAATGGCGAAAAAGAGGAGTGACTCATATTATTATTATCAATAAACCACTTCAAACAGTTTATTTGTATTTTCAAACACTTAAATCCCTAAGGAAAAGAGTGGTTGTTAACATTCAAAAATTTCGAAATGTTTTCACTGTAACTGTAACTGTGAGAGCTCTATTGTTTTTAAATCATCGCAATCTCGAGGGCGACCATCAAATAACAACATCTAAAATTTCATTTTGATTGCTTGAGCGAAGAGGCAGCTAGGAGTTCATACATCCGGGAAATTTTTTATGACCTCCCTGTAGTATACACAAACTCTTCCGTTTAAAAATCATGAAATCACATGCAAGAAACAACCATCTGTGATTACATGTGTAATGATAAACACCTTTTTATTTTAACCCTCAGGTTGCTGGGCTGGCGTCTCGGCCTCCACGCCATCACTGGCATGGCAGTCATTCCGTTCTTCGTAGGCATCTGCTACCGCTCTGCGTCCCTCTACCACCCTCAGCGGCGGGCAATCCTCCATCTGAAGAACCAGAGGAAGAAGATCAAAGACAAATCCGGGGTTTCAGACAAGCCTGCTTTCTTTGACTGGGCACCCCTGCGCAGCGGACCTATTCTGGTCGCCATGGTTTCGGCAGCTCTCTGCGCCTTTGGACTGTATGCCCCTTTCTTCCATGTAGTGAGTGTGATCTTTGTTTTATAAAGTGTATTTGGTATGCTGTTTTGCGGAAAGGGGCAAGGCAAGGTGGGCAACTTAAAGAACCTGAAAGATTTCATAGATAAAACAAATACATGAAGTGTTCCCAAATAATACTTATATTCTTTGAGCATTGATGGCAAAGATGTGGAGCAAGATGTTTTGCTTTGCAAAATCTAGCCTTCTTTGCTATCATACACTGTAACTAGATGTACTTGAATGTCTGTGTTGCGACGTCTTGCTAAGACTGGAAGATGTATACAACAGGAGAAGGGTGTAAAGCACCCTTTTATTGGTCACAATTATGTACGGATGGCACGGATTACGTACTTACACTATCACCAATCACTTGTGCTGAGGAGCTTAAAGATAATATAACACACTATATTTAAAGGTAACTAGTAGCGTAAGACTTAAAGGTAATACAATAAACTAAATTTAAAGGTAACAAGTAGCGTAAGAGTTAAAGATAATATAACAAACTAAATTTAAAGCTAACTGGTAGCGTAAGACTCAGAGGTAATATAACAAACTAAATTTAAAGGTAACTAGTAGCGTAAGACTTAAGGATAATATAACAAACTAAATTTGAAGGTAACTAGTAGCGTAAGACTTAAAGGTAATATAATAAAGTAAATTTAAAGGTAACAAGTAGCGTAAAACTTAAAGATAATATAACAAACTAAATTTAAAGCTAACTAGTAGCGTAAGACTCAGAGGTAATATAACAAACTAAATTTAAAGGTAACTAGTAGCGTAAGACTTAAGGATAATATAACAAACTAAATTTAAATATAACTAGTAGTGCAAGACTTAAAGATAATGTAACAAACTAAATGTAAAGGTAACTAGTAGTGTAAGACTGAAAGATAATATAACAAACTAAATTTAAAGGTAACTAGTAGCGTAAGACTCAAAGGTAATATAAAAAAATTAATTTAAATGTAACTCGTAGCGTAAGACTTAAAGATACTATAACAAACTAAATTTAAAGGTAACTAGTAGGGTAGACACAATTCAATTTAACATAGCAGGTTGACTCAGGAACCTACACCGGCGAGATACTAATTTCGGAGGCAAGAATGCAAAGCCGAGATTCAAAACTCAGACAGCTGGTAACAATATCAACGTGCGTACCCAACAGCGAAAAACGCTCTGACTAACCTTTTCGCTACTTCAGTTTAAATACGCTCTCGTTCAACCTAACTCATTTACATCCTGGCGGTTTCGTTTTGGGAATTTTGCGTTGGTTCATTATAATCGCGTTTCACTTTTCAGATTGTTGCCGCCCAAATATTAGAGATGCCCTTGTTTTTTTATATTTCGAGAAACATACATACATTCGTGCAGATTCTTCAAGATTTAATTCCTTTAAATTTAACACAGGGCTATAACTTGTGGTGGTAGCAAACTGAAAAGTGTTTCAACGCTTTTAGTGATGTCGTTTCAAGGATGGGCTAACACCCGGGTTAGCGACGCTGATTGCCGCACCGAAGGACTTCGGTTCGTATCTCGGAAAGCATTGGATGTTTAAAAATGTGTGGTGTCAATGCGGCATAGAGGCACCCTAAATATTCGGTGAATTAAATGTCCTCTCGAGAGGTTGAGTGTAGGAGAAGAGGGGTGGAAGACCCAGGGACGGGTTTCCCCGGGGTGCGCTCAATCAGAATTGGAGGAGGGACTGAGGTAAGTCACAACGGCAACATCAGCACAACATATATTATGACGTATGATTCAAGAGTTTCTTAAATATTCAACATTAAACAGAAAACAAAACAAAAAATGTCTGAAAGCTTTCAGATTTTATATTATGCCCAAAGGGGCGTTTTTTTAACGTTTTGTGTGTTATCTTTACTTATGAAATACCATGTTCTTCGCACTTAAAACATAATATTTATTACATCAGCAATATCACAAAATACTTAAAAGAGCATATATTTAGAATTTCCGATACACAGTCTCGAGCGCTGGAGATAAAAATAATTTTTCTGTACAACGTTGCCAGCGCTCGCTATGAAATCCTCGAGTTTGTTAATCAAAAATTCTTTAATGTTTGACAAAATATGAAATTGATAGTAAAACATATTCCAAATTCTGAATTAGGGCTTCCAGATGCCGATATTCGGTGGAGGATTATATTATTCAAAATTGGATGGCTCTAGGTACCGTTGTTTTATCACAATGTGAGAAGAATATATACATTTATGCAGATTCTTCTTTGTTTGTTTCTTTAAATAGGGTGATATTATTTGGTGGCAACTTTTTTGAAAAGTGAAACGGACATTTCAAGTTTTCAACACAACATGCCAAAACGAAATTAATAGCAGTTCTGGGTTAACGCTCTTTGGGGTAAAAAACATATTTGTGTATTTGATTTTAAAGTTTTCCAGTTCTTTCAGCTCTTCAGATGCCATAAGTCTAATGCATAAGAATGTAAATAAATTCTGTCTGTATTCATTAGCTGACACGCATTTCAATTAGTTGATATGCATGAAAAGTAACTTTATTTTCGCAGCTAGTCAAAGACACGAATCTGTTTCCAAGCCATTTAGCCAATCCATCAATTTCTCCGACACGCCATCCGTCATTTACCTGTCAAACAATTAATGCAGCTTTTACTCGCCAAACATTTTGCATTCATTCATAATTTAATCCAAGTTGAGCGCGAACTGGAAAGTCAAAATTGACACAAAAAATAACCCATATAATTCATATTTATTTAACTGATTTACAAACAGACACTGGCGAATACTCTGGAAGCAGTAGTAGATCACGTACTCGACGTCATATATATGCTGATTGCATATATTTCAGACGCTTTTGATTGGACTTACAGAAATATTTTACCGCAAACTTTTGTGTTTTAAGTATTCTGTTTGATAAGCCTTATTCTGCACTGTAACTTCCGCGACAATAAACCTTTTTACTTCGTCGAAAAATTTCGGGTATCGTATTTTAACAAGCCCACCAGCCGCCAAACGGTGAAATCTCTAAACACTGGTAGTTCGGTACGAGGTTCGAATATCGCGAACGAGCTGGCTGCATGGGAGTTTTCGTGGTTTTCCCCATGTGCAACGTGTGTACGAGCCAGTTTCGCTTAGAAAGTGCCTCAACGAAGGCATCCCTTCCCTTAGGCAGATAACCCTCGCGTGCTTTGCCATTATTAAGGGGTGTTGGAACCCCAAAATCTTGAAAAAAATTGTGATTTCGGATTTCTGCATTTTAAAATTCTCTACACTTTTATCTTTCTAAAAATACCATTCTTTAATCTCTATAAAAATTAGAACTGAAAAAATCTACTTTTTAATTTGTCATCTACTGTTTTAATCAATGAGGATTTTTACATAAAAACGCGTTTTTCTCCAAACGTGATTTTTTATACTCGATGTACCTTTTCTCAGGAACTACTGCTCACAGGTATCTAAACTTTTTATTGCTTATTTATTAGGTTCCCTAATATTTACTGAAATGAGCTTTTTGTAATAAACTTGGAAAAAACATTTTAATTTTTTTTTTTTTTTTTTTTTTTTTTTTTTTTTTTTTGTGTGTGTGTGTGTGTGAGAAAAGTGTTAAATTTTACTATGCCTAACAAAATATTCTGTAATTTACTCTAAAATTCAAAATGCTTCAAAAGCTCATTTCAGTATAATCAGATAGGTATACTTTAATTACAGAAAAATTTCAAGCTTGTATCTACAGCAGATTTTGAGAAAAGGTATATCGAAAACGGCCAATTTAACTTGTCGGTATAGGGGTTTCTGATTCTTAAATACACCAACGTATTTCAACGAAAATATTCATTTTAGCCGCTCTCGATTCCATTTGAATGACGTTTTTGCGTCACGTATGTGCGTACTAACAAAATAGGACTCTTTTTTTCCCCCAGAATGGATCGTAAAATGGATTTAAAATGGATTCAAAAGAGATTTTTTTCTTTGACGTCCGTCCGTACGTACGTATGGATCTCGCATAATTCAAAACCCAGTAGCCATAGAACGATGAAATTTTGTATATACGACTGCTATAACGTGTAACTGTGCGTCTCCCTTTTTCGTTGCAGTCCGCCGCACCAAACATATCTATCTTCTAGATATGTAATTATATTTTAAGTATTTATTTGTTTTTATAAATTATGAATTAGGTGTTTTTAGTTTCTTCTTGGTTTATATAAATTATGTATAGTTCCTTTTTAGTTTCTTTTTGATTGATATGCATATTCGTGTCGGGGAGGTTTCTGTAGACAAGGGTTTATAAAATGCATTGGTTTCTAAATTAATTTTTCTGAAAAATTTAATTAAAAAAAATTTTATAAAAAATTTAATTTAATACTAGACTTTACATTGCTTAATTGTCAAAATACTTCATTATTGGTATTTTCCTTTTAGGCCTTTATTTTAATTGCTAATTTCTCAAGGTACCACTTTATTTGTATTTCTTTTTGGGCATTCTTCACTATGTATTTACTTTTGGTTTTGACTTTTACCCTTGCCTGCATGAATGACGAAACACGAATTGAATGATTGTGGAGTTAGGTTTAGAGGCAACTTCCCCTCTCCTGCCTACTCAACGGTCATTCACTTAAGCATTTTTTAAAAAAATTTTTTAGATTTATTTTAGTTTGCTAAATTGGTGAATTTATTTTCATGGTTTGGTTTTGCACTTGATTTACTTATGCTATCTGAATTTAAATGATATTGTAGATTAGTTCGAAAATTAAATATTTTATATGTTTGCACACTTTTTAACTTTTTTAAAATTATTTTAACTTTAAATTTGCTTTTTACGTATATGCATGTTTGTTAAAATATCTATCTATCTATATATATATATAGATATATTTTTAGGATTAAAAAATTATTGGAATTATATATTATACATTTATTATATATTTATAGATTTTGATACTTGCACTTGATTTACATATTCTCTCAGAATTTAAATGATATTGTAGATTAGTTCGTAGCAATAATTAATCATTTATT